GGTGGAATGTTGTGAATAACCCACTGTGGAAGGCAGCAGGGAGAAGGGGTGCAGGCAGCTCCACTTGAAAGCCTGCCCCCACTTGTAAAAGTGTATCTGCTAAATATCTAGTAGTTCTTCCTCGAGTGGTGTCCCTGTAGGTGCTCCACTCAGGTCTCTGTATGTCCTTGCATTGCTGATCATAGATTTTTGCCTAGCAGTGCCTCCCGCACCATGAATGCACAGTCACCACCTCATGCTGTTTTCGTCTGTTAGGTGTATGCATGGCATGAACCTTCCTCAGCTCCTTTTCTACTATCCTCGGCAGATGATGGAGTTGCAGCAGTGCTCTCCTTTCTGACAGGAAATAGTAAAATAGTCTAGAAGCTTCAGGGTGTAGCCGAGTTAGTTTGTACAGGGTAAACTTAAAGAACAACAAATAACTAACAAAACATGTATATGGTATCATGAACTTTCACGGGCACATCCTAAACTCAAAATTCCAGTCATCTGAAGAAGTGGGCTGTACCCACAAAAGCTCGTGATACCATCTACATGTTTTGTTAGTCTGTAAAGTGCTACCAGACCATTTGTTGTTTTTAAAATAGTTTAGTTCATTTTAACAGTTGTTCATAGTTTGTCAGTTTTTACTTAGTTTTACCTAGTGTTCTGTTACAAAAAAACTCAACAAAACCTGCTTCACCAGGTTTTTCCTTTTTGCCTTCCTACTCAGTTTTTTCCCCCCAATTTTTGAACCTTCACATTCCTTCAACATGCCAGGCTCTCCTGGTTTAAGAAATGTGATTGTCAGGACTCAGTGCTGGTTTCTGACAGACATGCCTCTTGTATAAAATGCTTAGGCAAAAGCCATGCAGCGCGGAAGTATCCGCATTGTCAGAACATGACAGCTAGAGTGAGGAAAGACCATGAAATGAGGTTGAAGAATCTTCTCTGGGAGAGATCCTTCCAACCACCGGGGGATAAGTGCCCAAACACACAGACACGCTCAGTGCCCCGCGAGAGGGCTAGCTCATCACCCCACAGAGGCACTTCAGTGCTTCATGCTTCCTCGGCATGATCACTGCCGGCCATGTCCTGGTCTGCTCGTTCCTCGGTGCTGTTAATTTCTGGCACCGTGGAGAAACGTAAACTGACCTCAGCAAAGAGAGCTGAGTTGCAACTGAAACAGTGAGCTGCCACCCCCTGATGCAATGACCAGCACCAACAAAGCCTGGCGCACACGCTGCCACTGCCGGCACCCAAAAACAACCTGGCACCAACTGAACAAGCCAGTTCCCGGCAGGTGGAGTTAAAGTGAGCTCTGGCACTGGAGCATAAAAAAGTGGTGAGCAAAACGCAGCACTTATAAAAAGACTCGCAACCAGACGCACTATCTCCATCGGTGTAGAGAGTAGCTTCACCATGCTCTCCTACAATACCTCACACTAGCTCGCAAAGGCAAATGGCAGAAATACTTTCTTACTCTCCCATATCAGCTTCACTGCAAACTGCACATGGCTTTGATCAGGGAAGTAGATTTTTGTCACAGCACTCATCCCCAACAGGATCATTGCCTTCCTGGTGCTCCACTCAGCTCCAACCTTTCCAACAACCCCCACAACTTCCATGTTTTACCAACAATGGGCCCTTATTACTACAGACAAATGGGTTCTCGAGATCATCAAATTGGGCTACACAATCTTTTTTATGACTATACCCTCTACCCAACCTCCTTCCCTGTCCCTCTTCAGGGATGCCTCTCATGAGCCCCTGTTACAAGCAGAGTTGCAAAAACTACTCATCCTACGGGCTATAGAGTCAGTTCCCACAGAGTTTCAAGGAACAGGGTTCTATTCCAATTATTTTCTAACTGCAATTATTTTAAAACAGGTGGTTGGAGGCCAATTTTAGATCAGGATAGTGACTATGGAGACTATTATACCTGCATTGGACCAAATGGGAGTGGTTCTCAGCCCTCAATCTTCAAGACATGTACTTCCATATAACCATACATTCTACCCATAGAAGATGTCTCCAATTTGTGGTAGGACAAGAGCATTACCAAAAATGAGTCCTTCCCTTTGGTCTGTCCACGTCCCCTTGAGTTTTTTCCAAGATCTTAGCCACAGTTACGGCCTTTCTCAGGAGGCAGGGCATCATTATTTTTCCCTTCCTTGACGACTGCCTAATCAAGGGGCCCACACATCAACAAACAATAACTAAAATAAACACTACCAGAGAGTACTTCTCCCACCTAGGCCTCCTCGTAAATATCCGAAAATGTACCCTGCAATCTAGTCAAATGATAGAATTCATTGGGAATGGGAAGTCTTCTAGATGCAGACACAGCCAGAGCCTACCTCCCACTGCAACTGTTCCAAACGCTATGCAATCTTATCAGGACAGTCAAACATACCTTCATTACTACAGCACTCACATGTCTCCAAATCTAGGGAAACATGGCAGCAACAATCTTCGTTGTTTTATTTGTGAGCTTGCACATGTTGCCTTCAGTATGTTAGCATCTATGTTCCCAACCGACACAGCCTCACAAAGCTCCATACATTCCCAATGGTAATATTACAATCTCTTGACTGGTGGACCTCTACAAACAACCTAGTAGCTGGCATATACCTTACCATCACCCAGACCCATCAGTAATGGTCATCACTCCTGGGATGGGACCTACTGCAACACAAGAACAGTACAGGGCAGTTAGTCTCATCCCAAGCTGCACATCCATATCAATATCCTGGAACTCAGAGCCATCCGCAAAGCATGTGCTCACTTCCTCCCTCTCCTAAAGGGCAGAACCATTTGTGTCCTCATCAATGACACAATCTCTGTTTTATATCAACAAACGGGGGATGCCTGATCATGCTCACTCTGTGAAGAGGCAATCAGATTTTGGAACTGGTGCTGCAAGAACCAGATAACCCCAACTGCCGCTTACATGCCAGGCTTACAAAATACCACAGCTAACAAATTGAGCAGATACTTCTCCGAACAACACAAGTGGGAACTTGGTCTTAATATTCTCCCAATTTTCTGACAATTTGGGTCCTCACTTGTACATCTGTTTGCGACAGCAATCAACCCCACATGTCACTGATTCTGCTCTGAAGCAGGTCAGGGCAAGAGGTTGGAGGGAGACTCTTTCACCATCTGCTGGACTGCTCCCCTACTCTATGCTTTCCCACCAATTCCTTTACTCTCCAGAGTAATCAACAAGATCCGCTCAGACTGGGCCGCAGTAATTCTGATAGCTCCCTACTGGCCAAGACAACCTTGGTTCCCTGACCTACAACACCTGTCAGTAGCTCAACTGATTGCTCATCCTATGAGTCCCCACTTACTTAACCAACACCGGGGCAAGACTCACCTGAACACCAAAACCCTGAAACTTACAGCATGGCTTCTCTGTGGTTCCAAAATGAAGAACATACCTGCTTAGGGAGAGTTAAGCACATCCTACTGAATAGTTGACGCTCCTCCGCAAGATACACGTACCAAAACCAATGGAAATGTTTTCAGCAGTGGTGTAGAGTTCATCAATTACAACAGATGACCGCTCCCGTACCCACCGTACTGTAGTACTTGATGGATCTTAGTGACGCAGGCCTTTCCATCAACTCGATTCAAGTCCATCTCTCTGCTATCATGGCCTTCCATGAACTAGTTGATGATCTCTCACTCTTTGCACACCCCATGACGAAGCGTTTCTTAACAGGCTTGTGGAAAACGCGTCCAAATTTACACCCGCCTGTACCTCCTTGGGATCTAAACTTTGTACTTGATACATTCACTAGGCCACCCTTTGAACCACTAGGCACTACCACAGTGCAGTACCGATCCACAAAAGTGACTTTCCTAGTGGCAATAACATCTGGCGACAAGTGGGTTAAATTGCAGCTCTCATGGCTCTCCCACTGTATTCTACCTTTACTAAAGATAGGGTCATGCTCAGACCTTATCCCAGGTTTCTCACTAAAGCTAATATCTTCTGTTACACTTCATGTGTCCTGAATAAGGATATCTTGACTCCAGAAACTTAAGATAAGTTTGTTACATCTCTGCTAAGAGCCTGCATTAAGAACTTTATGAATTTGTTTGATTGTTCTGAGAGGACCGAGATGACTCCTTCATTGGGGTATGAAGTAGGGATGTTAAACATGTATTTGTTTAAATGTGTAAGAAGTTACCCTGTGCAGTAATGATGGTTCTTCGAGATGTGTGTTCCTGTGGGTTCTCCACTCAGGTCTTGGTGCATCCTCATGCTGCTGATTGGAGATTTTTGCTTAGCAGTGACCAACCGGGGGCTCTTGTGCATTTCAAAGCCATGGTGTCTGTGGTTAGCTGGGGAGTCCCCAGCTGATCCCGGGCTCCACGGCGCTGCCCCTTTGAAATGCCACCTCAGCATTTCAAAATGGCAGCTCCATGTGGCCTGGGGTCATCTGGGGACTCCCCAGTTAATCCCAGACTCCACATGGCATTTCAGTGGAACCCGGGATTAGTTGGGGACTCCCCAGCTGACCCTGGTTTCTGCACAGCATTTCCCCAGAATTAGGGCTGACCCCGGGTTCTGAATCAGTGATATGACTTCTTTGTTGTTTATACTCCCCAATTTTTGTTTTATCAGCAAACTTTATCAGTAATGATTTATATTCTTCCCAACCATAAAGATGTTGAATGGAGTAGGATAATCTACTCCATTTGTAAATCATTGTCCTTGCCTGACCCCTTGAGTTAGCAGTTAAAATACTTGGCTTTTACTTTCTAAATATACTTACACTCTAAATTAAGATTTGCTGCCTATCTAAACCTAACAACTGTTCGTTCAGGTTTCACTAAGATAAAATACTTAAACAATCCATATTTCTTTATTTCAGACACATACTAACAGATAGTTAAGGGACAATTTTTCAAAATGCTTTTATATTGTTTTGGAGTAAGAATTAAAATGAATAGATCTGTATTTGTTTGTGCAGACCCACACTTAACAGCTGAATGTTTCTGTTTAGCCACCTCGCACATCTCATCCTATAGTGAAGTATTCCTGCACTGACTGTGAACCAATGGTCATTGACAAATTACCTTTTGATAAATATGAGTTAGAACCTTCACCGCTGACCCAGTTCATTCTGGAAAGGAAATCTCCTCAGACCTGCTGGCAGGCAAGTTGAATATGTGCTAACTGAAGGACATTTATTTGAGAAACAGTATTTTGTTAATAACTTGGTCTGAAATTCTGATTGTGTGTTGATTTATTGTAAACTACCTAACATCACACCTTTTATTTATAACTCACACTTTAATAATACATGAACGACATAAACTCTTCTTATTGCAGGTGTATGTGAGCAATAGTGCAAAATATAGTGAACTTGGCCATCCTTTTGGTTACTTGAAAGCTAGTACAGCACTGAATTGTGTGAACCTATTTGTGATGCCTTACAATTATCCAGTCCTCCTTCCTCTCTTAGGTAAATATAGCTTTCTCAGATTTTTCTGATGTGGTAGGCAGATGGGGAAATTGCTTCAGCTTAGTTAGTTTTTTGTGTTATTTATGCTACTGTTAATAATCATAAGCCTATACAAATCCAAAACATTAAGAGTATAATATTCCTATTGAAAAGAGAAAAAAAATTTGGTGTCTACTATATTCATGATTTACTTATAAAAAATTACTACCATTCCTCAGTCTGTGTATAAGCCTGTTGACTTTTAAAAATGAGTATTCAGATAGTATTACTCATCCTTCAATATGCTGCTGTTGCTGCTTTTATTCCCTCTGCTGCTGCTGCTTTTCCTACTCCTGTGGCTCTGATGAGTTAGATTTTATAAATAACACCTTACAAGATTCTGTTTTCCTTGCACACCTCATGAACTGTATCCCATAGTGATTAGCTTTGATTAAGCCTCAGTGCAGCATGCCAAATCTTTAGAAGAAATGCTCTTAGAAAATGTGTGGGGAATGATGCCTTATATTTAGAAATGTACTTCTCATCTAACTTTATCTCTATTCGTATAACTTCTTAGACGACTTATTCAAAGTACACAAGGCAAAGCCAACCTTAAAATGGCGGCAGTCATTTGAAAGCTATTTGAAGACAATGCCTCCTTACTATCTAGGGGTAAGATGATTTATTTTATGCGTGTTTCAGAATTTCTGTTGTATCCTACAACCTGTGGTGGACGTGAAATTGCATCTTCAGTTATTAGCTTGTTCTGTTCACGGTCTTCTTTTGGGTTTATTTGATAAAGAATTTTCTGAACATAAAAATAAAAGGTTAATGTGTACAATCTAGGATTTCATATTTATGACATCATGTATGCCCCTGGAAGAATAATGTTCTTAAAATTTCCATTAATGCATTGACTTTTTCCTTTGACCTTAATGTAATAAAAACTTGATCAGATATGGCTACTATTTGAATTATACATTCACCAACATTTGTCTTCATGGGTTACAAATTCACTTTGAAATGAACACAAGTCATAGCGTACTTTAAACTCTTGCTACCAACTTGAGGATACAAATATACAATGTTATAAATATATAAATGCATATATTATTTGTTTCAGCCTTTGAAGAAAGCTGTGAGAATGATGGGCGCACCTAACCTTATAGCAGACAGTGTGGAATATGGACTTAGTTACAGTGTAATTTCATACCTCAAAAAGTTGAGTCAACAGGTAATGTTAATGCAAAAGAACAGTTAAAAAAAAAACTAAAATTGGAAAACATTGATATACTAATGTCAGACTAACTTGAAAATATCAGAGGGGTAGCCGTGTTAGTCTGTAAATGCTATAAAACTTAAAAAAACAATGAATGGTCCTGTAGCACCTTAGAGACTAACAAAAAATGTAGATAGTGTTATGAGTTTTCGTGGGCACAACCTACTTCAGGTCATCTGAAGGAGGTGGGTTGTGCCCACAAAAACTCATGATACTATCTACATTTTTTGTTAGTCTCTAAGGTGCTGCAGGACAATTTAAGTTTTTTGAAAATATCATTGAACCATATTGGTCCTTAACTTGAGTGTCTGTCCCCCTTTACTATATCTGAATTCCTATATGTGATTTCTGTTGGTACATTTTTCATTTCTGAATTAAGTTAAAAACTCTGTTTATAGACTAAACTGCAAAATATGTATACTGAAATATGGCTGGTTGGATAACTCAAAGTATATAGTATGTAAGCAGCATTTTCATATCTGCCAACTTTAATATATTTGTAGTTTAAAAGACAATCCTTTCTGCTCTGAGTGTTAAAAAATCACATTACGCCTTGAATGAGATCAGGGATTTGAGCCTATATGTTTTTGGACAAAATACAGCTTTTTTCATTTTTGGCCCATAATTTGTGAAGTGCTTCAGGATCCATGAAAAATGAAAGGTACTAGCTAAATATAAAACATAGTAAACAATGTCTTTAATCCACTTTGAAATGCTTCTTATAAATGGGGAAACTGGCACAGAAGGAACAAGGTTACACAGTAAGCCACTGGCAATGGTAGGGAATCTCCTGCTCTAGCAGCTAAAAAACTATATATTTCCCATTATCAGTTACTGTTTATGTTCACAAACTTTTTTGGATAATGACAAATTGAATAGGTTGGACACAAAAAGATACAGAAATGCAAGCATTAATTACTTTGTATGTTAAAATTTCTTTAAGTTTAGAAACCTATAATATAGATCTTATTTTTAAGCTCCTAGACAAATCTAATGGAAATCTGTGATGAGTCTTACCAAATTGTGTGGTCATCTTGAACAAAAATCTGCAGAATATATCAATCTCTAGATTTATACAACTTTGGCTCAAAATACCTAAAATACATTGTTGTGTACAGTATGTTATAGCTATGGTATAGTGATCATTCTTAAAATATCTTTCATTTTGAAGTATTGTACCAGTTTGAGATTTATGTTCTGAAAATGGGAAATAACATTTAGATGTAAAGGAACTTATGTGAAACCTCTGAATAAAGATTGTATGGCAGTTAGAAGTTCTCAAATGGCTTCTGGTTCATTGTTCAACTATATTCTGCCAAACTACTAGTGTTACCTTTTATAGCACATTTGATTTGGGGACATACTGAGCAGGTAAAAAATTACTGGCTATGGAGGACTGACTGCCAAATGGAGGAAGAATCAAAAGATTGCTGTTCCTTTATTTTGTTGAAGTTGAACTGTCTCTTCCTTGCTTTAATCTCACATTCTTTTGTATCTTTTGCCTTTTTTTAAAAAGAAATTGATATCGTATGAGTCCATAATAAATACCGCTAAATGAGATGTTACCTTCTGAGAATTCGCATAAAACTTCAGCTGTTTTCACAAAGTAAAATCCATGAGCACATGCAGAAATTGTGGCACATTTTTCCAATAATCTTAATCATGGCATTTTTCTGAAAATAAAAGCATTGCATGCATATTGGTGCTTAGATACTATAATAATGGGCACCCTAGAAATACATGGAAGAGTTAGACACAAAAACTGTTTACCATATTCTAATGATTTAGAATTGTAGTAGTACCTTCAGCAAACCACCGTAAACACTCATACACATTATATTCTTGAATAGTATATTAATACATTGCCGAGTCTTCTAGGTAAGAATTAGAAATGAATTTAATATTCTGACTAATCCTTTTAAGAGTATATTGTCAATTTTATTTATTTATTTATTTCAAATTAAGGCCAAAATAGAGTCCGATAGAGTCATTGGCTCTGTAGGCAAAAAGGTAGCGCAAGAGACTGGAATTAAGGTCAGAAGCAGATCACACAACCTGTCTATGGCACATAGGAACGATTTTCAACAACTGCTACAGGGGATTACTGGGGAAATTCCTCATAGACTTCTAGACTTCAATATGAAGGAGTATGCTGGGTTCCAAATAGCTTTGCTGAATAAGGTAAGCACCATTATGTGTAATGTTGTTATTTTCAATACACTTCCATTGAAGTATTAGATGTTTTTTCATGTCGTATTAATCAAAACATTATTATATTGCTGCTACTGTAGGAATTGAAACCTCAAACCTTTAGAAATGCTTATGACATACCCAGAAGGAATCTTTTGGATCACTTAACAAGAATGAGGTCTAATCTTCTGAAGAGAACTCGCAAGTTTCTCAAAGGACAAGATGAAGGTAAGATTATTGGTTTGCTTGCATATCTTAAAGTGTGTAATATTAGCATAATTTTGTGTAGTTTGCTGAATGGAGTAAAGTTGATAGTTCTTCAATAGGTGCTTATTTGGAAGGTTTTCTTTCTGAAATAAACTTATTCTAAGACTTGTGCTGTTGCTCACAATCTCCAGTGGTTTTTCTTGTTTTTTTCACCACATGTTTATTGTAAGTTAGGCATGTTCTAGTGACTTATGGGAGAAAAAGCTTATGTCTTCCATCTAATTTCTTTATCCTTGTCTTAAGAACAGTTTTGTATTGTTCTGCTTTTGAACTTGTTTGTTTTTATTTCACTTCTTTCCAACTTTCTGGGTATATCAGAGGACAAATATCTTCTGGACAGTCCTGGACACTGAAGTTCTCTTTCCATATAATAGGTATATAATAGGCATTGGTAGAGCAAGTTACCCCACCCATCCTGCCAACTTGCCTTATGCTTGCCCTGAAAGGAGCACCTCTGAGTGAGAAGGTAGTTGTTTCCCTGCTAATTCAGTCCTTTTCTGTCTGTGGTGACTTACAGCAGGCAGTACAATGACTTATCATAGAATAATAGGACTGGAAGGGACCTCGAGAGGTCATCGAGTCCAGCCCCCCGCCCTCAAGGCAGGACCAAGCTCCGTCTACACCATCCCTGACAGATGTCTATCTAACCTGTTCTTAAATATCTCCAGAGAGGGAGATTCCACCACCTCCCTTGGCAATTTATTCCAATATTTGACCACCCTGACAGTTAGGAATTTTTTCCTAATGTCCAATCTAAACCTCCCCTGCTGCACTTTAAGCCCATTACTCCTTGTCCTGTCCTCAGAAACCAAGAGGAACAAATTTTCTCCTTCCTCCTTGTGACACCCTTTTAGATATTTGAAAACCGCTATCATGTCCCCCCTTAATCTTCTTTTTTCCAAACTAAACAAGCCCAGTTCATGAAGCCTGGCTTCATAGGTCATGTTCTCTAAACCTTTAATCATTCTTGTTGCTCTTCTCTGTACCCTTTCCAATTTCTCCACATCTTTCTTGAAATGTGGCGCCCAGAACTGGACACAGTACTCCAGCTGAGGCCTAACTAGTGCAGAGTAGAGCGGCAGAATGACTTCACGAGTTTTGCTTACAACACACCTGTTGATACAACCTAGAATCATATTTGCTTTTTTTGCAACAGCATCACACTGTTGACTCATATTCAACTTGTGGTCCACTATGACCCCTAGATCCCTTTCTGCCATGCTCCTTCCTAGACAGTCGCTTCCCATCTTGTATGTATGGAACTGATTGTTCCTTCCTAAGTGGAGCACTTTGCATTTCTCTTTATTAAACCTCATCCTGTTTACCTCTGACCATTTCTCTAACTTGCTAAGGTCATTTTGAATTATGTCCCTATCCTCCAAAGAAGTTGCAACCCCACCCAGTTTGGTATCATCTGCAAACTTAATAAGCGTACTCTCTATCCCAATATCTACATCATTGATGAAGATGTTGAACAGTATGGGTCCCAAAACAGACCCTTGAGGAACTCCACTTGTTATCCCTTTCCAGCAGGATTTAGAACCGTTAACAACAACTCTCTGACTACGGTTATCCAGCCAATTATGCACCCACCTTATCGTGGCCCTATCTAAGTTATATTTGCCTAGTTTATCAATAAGAATATCATGCGAGACCGTATCAAATGCCTTACTAAAGTCTAGGTATATGACATCCACCGCTTCTCCCTTATCCACAAGGCTCGTTATCTTATCAAAGAAAGCTATCAGATTAGTTTGGCATGACTTGTTCTTCACAAACCCATGCTGGCTATTCCCTATCACTTTATTACCTTCCAAGTGTTTGCATATGATTTCCTTAATTACCTGCTCCATTATCTTCCCTGGGACAGACGTTAAACTGACCGGTCTGTAGTTTCCTGGGTTGTTCTTATTCCCCTTTTTATAGATGGGCACAATATTTGCCCTTTTCCAGTCTTCTGGAATCTCCCCTGTCTGCCATGATTTTTCAAAGATCATAGCTAAAGGCTCAGATACCTCCTCTATCAGCTCCTTGAGTATCCTGGGATGCATTTCATCAGGACCTGGTGACTTGCTGACATCTAACTTTCCTAAGTGATTTTTAACTTGTTCTTTGTGTATCCTATCTTCTAAACTTACCCTCTCTCTGCTTGTATTCACTACGTTAGGCACACCTCCAGACTTCTCGGTGAAGACCGAAACAAAGAAGTCATTGAGCATCTCCGCCATTTCCAAGTTCCCTGTTACTGCTTCTCCCTCCTCGCTAAGCAGTGGGCCTACCCTGTCCTTGGTCTTCCTCTTGCTTTTAATGTATTTATAAAAGGTCTTCTTGTTTCCCTTTATGCCTGTAGCTAGTTTGATCTCATTTTGTGCCTTTGCCTTTCTAATCTTGCCCCTGCATTCCCGTGTTGCTTGCCTATATTCATCCTTTGTTAGTTGTCCTAGTTTCCATTTTTTATATGACTCCTTTTTTATTTTGAGATTGTGCAAGATCTCCTTGTTAAGCCAAGCTGGTCTTTTGCCATATTTTCTATCTTTCCTACACAGCGGAATTGTTTGCTTTTGGGCCCTTAACAACGTCCCTTTGAAATACTTCCAACTCTCCTCAGTTGTTTTTCCCTTCAGTCTTGCTTCCCATGGGACCTTACCTACAAGTTCTCTGAGCTTATCAAAATCTGCCTTCCTGAAATCCATAACCTCAATTGTGGTGGTCTCCCTTCTACCTTTCCTTAAGATCATGAACTCTATTATTTCGTGGTCACTGTCCCCTATACTGTCTTCCACTTTCAAGTTCTCAACTAGTTCCTCCCTATTTGTTAAAACCAAATCCAGAACAGCTTCTCCTCTGGTAGCTTTTTCAACCTTCTGAAACAGAAAGTTGTCTCCAATGCAGTCCAGAAACTTATTGGATAGCCTGTGCCTCGCTGTGTTAGTTTTCCAACATATGTCTGGATAGTTGAAGTCCCCCATCACCACCAAATCTTGGGCTTTGGATAGTTTTGTTAATTGTTTAAAAAAGGCCTCATCCACCTCTTCCACCTGGCTAGGTGGCCTGTAGTAGACTCCTAGACTTATGCTAGCTATAAATGATAGTATTAGAGCTCAAGAGAAGTACTCTGTTTCAGAATACTCTGCAGTTAGTGTTTCATTACACTGTGGCACCTGATGAGAAGAAGATAATAATGAAATAAAAATAGACAGAAAAGAGAAAACCAGACTTCTAACAACATTTCAAGATTGCAAATATTTGTTGGCCACTACCATCCAATGACTATTAAAAAACGTGTGGGCAGTTTCTGGAGAGCTGTCTGCATTACAACTGGCATGAATTCTAGGCTAATCTGCTACCCAACCTGTTTCCTTGCTGAGCAAAGGATTTGAGTGAAATGTGTCATGTTGTAAGGTGAAAAACACATTAAAAACCTGAATCACAAGGCTCTTAAAAATGCTCTTGAAACTTGTACAATACTACAGGAATTTTGCAGCATGCTGACAATATTAGTAAGGACATTTATCAAGTTATTGGTGTTCAACTTCTGATGAAGTCTTCATATTTTTGGCAGGTGGGAAGGAACTTCTTTACATAATCAAAGTTCAGAGTACGGTGTTGAAGTGGAATATTATTACACAGTTGTCTGCATCAGTGTAACAGTAACCTCAGTACATTTTACAATTAGTGTAGGGATGTTAGCAACTAGTCGACTCAACTAATCGCTTCCCCCCCCCCTTGCTGTCTGTCAGAGAGAGGCAGCAAGGGGAGGGGAGGAGAAATAGGAGCTGGCTTAAAAGCTGGTTCCCTCTAGCACCATCTCTGTGGTGGGGAAGGGCAGGGGCGTAGCGGGGAACTGGTGGCACTTCTGCCTTTGAAAAGTAGCAAGAGCAGGGCTCTTGCTACATTTCAAAAGAAGAAGCGCTGCAGAGAGCCTGGGGCAAGCTAGGGACTCAAAACAGTTTCAAAAGCAGAGAGCGCCGGGTCAGCAGGGCCCGTGCTCCCTGTGGCATTTCCACCTTTGAAATGTAGTAAGAGCCGGCAGGGCTTTTGCTACATTTCAAAGGTGGAGGCGCTCTTATCTACTAATCGAATAGTCAGTGCGAATTACATCGACTATTTGATTAATTGATAAATCTAAATTTAACATCCTTAAATTAGTGTTTTCAGATAGTTTCCATTCCTTTCCATCCCATACTGTCCAAAAAGAATTGTGTATTATATTGGAAAAACAAAAACTGTACTCAGAAGACTATCACTCAATTCTACAGTGAGATGATGACAATAGACATTCTACATACGTTGATTTCTTCAACACCAAGGGAAGCCTTCCACAGTTTGTGAAGTAGTAGATTACATATTTTAACTATTTTGTTGACAAGGAGGAAGATAGGTTTTGAGCATTATCTCTGTATACTTTTATGTTGACACATCTGGATGAAAAAGATGGAATAATATGAAAACTGGATATGTGAAAGGCATCCAGAATTAAATACTGATGAAATGAATAGTGTCATACTATTTCTACAGTCATAAAAATTATCTTCAATTCTAATAGATCAAGTTCACAGTGTACCAATAGCACAAATGGGAAATTATCAGGAGTTCCTAAAACAGATACCATCCCCCCTTCGAGAGCTAGACCCTGATCAACCCCGAAGGCTACATACATTTGGTAATCCATTTAAATTGGACAAGAAGGTAATTTCTCTTCCGTACTCTTTTTGTGTTAAATTAGTGCTATGGCATGTGTATGTATTGCTAATTATAAGCTTATCCAACTGCTTAAGAAATATAGGGACCTTCTTTTCCAAATTTTCTCAACCCTTTTTTAGATCCCTGTATTTTCATGGAGGGACAGACTTTTAATTAGAAGTCATTTATAAAGTTTCTGACTTTTTAATATGCTAAATTCATATGTTGTGAGATTGCCATCACTCTATTCTTTTTTATTCCACTCCCATTTATTAAATCCTTCCTTAGCAAAAAGCTTGCATTAACTTGATGGCTTCTCTAGTTTTCTACTTCACAAATCCAGGTCTTTGACTTGACTTGAGCGAATTACCAATATAGTTGAATGTATAACTGATTAAAAAATTACATTGTGTGTAACTCTAGTTTAAAGGTTACATTTTACCTACACAATTTTATAACAGTGGTCACCATTCTTTCTTTGCATATTGTTTATAGAGTGGTCTTCAACACATCAGTTCCCCAGAGTAAATAATTTGACTTTTTTTAAACTTGACATCTAAGAAACCAAGTCAAGGTGGCTTATTTTACCTGATTGGATTGTCTAATACCTGACAGTGTCAGGAAATGGTTGGATGTGTGATGTTTTTTGTTAAACTTGCTGTGCAAAATAACACAGATTTAAGGAAGCTTTTTTATATATTTGTTACAGGGAATGATGATAGATGAAGCAGATGAATTTGTATCAGGGCCCCAAAATAAACACAAACGACCTGGAGAGCCTAATATGCAAGGGATTCCTAAAAGACGTCGGTGTATGTCACCTCTTCTAAGAGGCAGGCCACAGACTCCTCCTGTTGTGAATAATCATATTGGAGGAAAAGGGCCACCTATACCTATTACGCAAGCACAACCAGATCTTGTGAAACCTATTCCTATTCACAAAAGTAAGTTTAACTCTATTTCAGTTAATTTTTTGTCTTGCCTTCATTTAGTTCTTCTTCAGTTAATTCACTTTACTATTTTATACAAAAGGATATTTTAGTTGTTCTGCAAAAAGTACTCAAAAGAGTAAGCATGCTGTAGATTTCTCAAATTTGAGCATTTGAATAGCGTGTTCCAAACGGCATGTAAATGTGCAGCCTTAAGTATTCAAATTAATTTGCATAGTGGCATCTCACAGGCAAGAAATGTTTGCCATTATTTTTCATTTTAAAGCGATATAAAGATTTCTGAAATTTAACTATCTGCCATTGAAACACCACTTTCTAAAACTACATTGTTCTGTATAAGGGAAAGTTTTCTATGATATAGACAAAGGTATTTGTCCAATGCCTTTTAGTTATTTCACATGTATGCATTTTTCAGATTTAATGATACACAAATTGACTGTAACGATATAGTAAGTAAAATAAATGTCAGTGAAGTTTGTAGTAACTATGTTCCTGGCAAATGTGAGGGGGCAGAATATGGAGGGTTTCATATTTATAGACTTGTCATGTTTGTTGTTTGCCTACCTGCACTCTTTATATTGAGTTCCTTTAAATTTTCCTCCATAAATCACTCTTTTGAGCCCCTGATTATTTCTCTTGCTCTTGTCTTCCTCAGCATTTTAGTAATAAGAAAATGGACGTATTAGTGTAACATTTCAGGTTTATTTGCACCAGAGGCAAGTTAGAGGGTTTTTACGTTTCTTTTCTGTGATGTGGTATTCCAGTATAGGTGAAGAGTTTAAGAAAGGAGTTTGATATTTCAGCCATTAAATTCAACTCCATCCTTTCTTACAAGTAGGCCTACTCTCCCTTCCCACCCTCCCCCAACAATATAGAAAGCATTTTAACTCATTTTCTTTGGTGCTTATTATTTTTTACACTTAACTAATTTAATATTCTTCTTCGAGTAGTGTCCCCGTGGGTGCTCCACTGTAGGTGAAGGGTCGCCCTGAGCCTCAGATCGGAGCTTTCTATAGCAGTTTCCCCTGTTGAGCCACGCATGCCCAGGAGGCGTCTCAAGCCCTTCCCGCCTCCTGAGGAGCGTGACTCAACCCCCTCCCTTTCAGTTCCTCTTTAACCGCCCTCGCCAGCGGACGGAGCAAACAGGAGCTCTCTGTCAGACTCTCTGACTACCTTTCTCTCCCTAGTTTAGTCATAGTTCTTTCCCCTGATATCCCAAGTTACCTTTCCTTGTTTCTTCAAAAAAAAAAAAAAACAAACCTAGTAATTAGGGTACACTTACCTAAACCCCCCCTCAGGGGGCTTGAACTGTCTTAAACCAGGACTCTGAGGTACCGGTGTTCTCACAGCTGTTCAACACAGGAAAGAAAGAAGAGACTTAAAAAAAAAACCAACACGGACACTGACGACAATAACAGTAACAGTCAAATAAATACATAGAACAAGCTCAAAGAGGAGAGAACCGGCCATGTCCGCCTCCTCAGGCTTTAAAAAATGCGACCAATGCCGGGACCCTATGCTGCAGCTGCACTCATTGTAATTCCCTCACGGCGAGAGCCAGGAAAGACCGTGAGCTCCGCCTAAGAATGATCCTATTCGAAAAAGCCTTGCAGCCCGCAGAACAGCCGGGAACGCGCCAAGAGCCTCCCCCTCTCTCCAGAACCGAGCTGAGGGGTAGAGCCTCACCATCCCGCTCCTTATCAGCCTCCTCCTCTCCTAAACATGGAGTAGAGGCACACCAGACCGGGAGGACGCCCGCCACAAAGGCTTCGGGGCGATCCTCCCACTCCGCGCCGGCATCGGGGCACGCCACTGCTGAGCGGCCCCGGGAGCGTTCAAAACAGCCGGCACGGCAAGAAAAGCCGGCGCCGAAGCAAACCGCGGTGCCGCTTCAAACAGCGGCACCGCTTTCAACTGCACAGCCTTCCGCGGCGCCGAAAGCCACAGCGATCCTTAAAGCTACGGTGCCGACTAAAACCACGGCACCGCAGCAGAGTGACCCACAGCCCAAACGCCCGGCACCACCTCCAGATAAGCAGCAGGATGCTGCACTAACGCTGCCAGGGCAAACTGACAGGCAGCCAGACGACACTGCTATGGAGCAGAGCCAGCAAGAAACTCTCTCACACAGCAGTCTTTCTGCTCAGTGTCTGCCTTCCACACCCTACTCACCTGGGAAGTCCCCATCAGGGCTACCCCTTCCCAGGTCTACACCAATCTTATCCGGCCGAGACGCTCCCCTTCCTGAGGATAATCACCACACATCTTATTCCTCGAGGCACCCATCACCTAGGCAATCTCGCTTTTATGACTACGGAGCCCCACCACAACAGAACCCATGGCACCCGTACTGGCCTTACCCACCCCCACCTTATCCGCAATGGGGACCCTGGGAACACTGGGAATCACGTGGACAATGCTCCCCAATTCACTCCACTCCATCCCGGAGAAGCTTATCTCGGCCGCAGTCCCTACCTCCAGCAACTCTTTCGGATGAGGAGGTGGACCGAATCTCTGACAATGAATCAGACACTCACTCAATAAACGTCACACATTCTGATGCTCCCGATATACAATCAGATGAAGCCGTAGTTCCATCAGATTCTGCACCAATTGACGACCTAAAACAATTCCAAGATCTATTCAAGAGGGTTGCAATAAGCCAGAATGTTTCCCTGCAGGAGGTCCAGAGGAAACAATACCAACTGCTAAAGAATCTCCATCCCACATTACATAGCAAGATTGCCCTCCCTATAGACGAGGCAATAATGGAGACCTCGGAAGACCTCTGGAAAACACCTGCATCCATTCAACCAACGAATAAAAGGATCGATAGGAAGTACTTTGTCCCATCAAAAGACAACGACTTTCTTTTCACACACCCACAACCCAACTCGTTAGTAGTGGATTCAGCGCAACAACGTGCAAAGATCCCACAATACAAGTTGGGCAACGCAGACAAGGACCACAAAAAGCTGGACTCCTTTGGCAAGAAGGTATACTCCTCTTCCACCTTACAACTCAGAATATCGAACTACTCTGCTCTTTTAGCAAATCATGACTTTGACAATTACTCAAAACTGGGAGAGCTGATACCACATCTCCCCGAGTCTAAAAGATCCATCCTGAAAACAATAGTTCATGAGGGCCATATGATCGCCCGCACTGCTCTTCAAACCGCAATGGATGTTGCTGACACCGCAGCCCGAATTACAGCTACAGCGGTAGTCATGCGTAGAACCTCTTGGCTCCAGTCATCAGGAGTTCCCCGCGATCTCCAGCCTAAAGTAGAGGATCTGCCATTCGACAAGCACAAACTATTTGCAGCCACTACGGATGAAATACTCCATAACAGCAAAAATTCCAAGTCTACACTCCGCACGTTGGGCATGTGCACGCAGCCCTATAGACGCGGACGATACACCCCATATAACTCATACAACCGATACCGATATGGGCAATATAATAGATCACAGAGGCCCTATGAAGACACTAGACCAAGGCAACGAGGTCCCAGAAGACGCCACAACCAGGCCCGCCCACCAACTACCCAACCATCTAAACAGCAAATTTGAAGATTTGGTCGAGGGCCTGCGACACCCTGCTTACGATCTAGCACTACCCCAACATGGCCATCTGTTCACCCATCGTTTGCGCCCATTCCTTCCTCAATGGGAGTCCATAACATCGGACCGCTGGGTTTTGGAAATCATTCGAGTGGGCTACACCATCCCTTTCACCTCTATCCCCCCTACCCTTCCCCCTATCCCGTCCCTCTTCAGGGACCACTCTCACGAGACCCTTCTGAAACAAGAAATCGATCGACTCCTCATCGGAGCAGTAGAAAGGGTACCCCGAGAGTTCCACGGGAGAGGGTTTTACTCGAGCTATTTCTTAACCGAAAAACGAACAGGGGGCTGGAGACCTATATTGGACCTCCGCAAACTGAACAAATTTCTCAAGAAACAACATTTCAAGATGGTCACACTCTCCACAATCATTCCTGCGCTAGATCAAGGGGACTGGTTTGCAGCCCTCGACCTCCAAGATGCCTATTTCCATATAACCATCCACCCCTCCCACAGACGTTACCTGCGCTTCATGTTGGGACCAGACCACTTCCAGTACAGGGTTCTCCCCTTCGGCCTCTCATCAGCCCCGAGAGTATTTTCGAAGGTACTGGCTGTCGCGACGGCATATCTCAGACGACAAAACGTCATCATATTTCCCTATCTAGACGACTGCCTCCTAAAGGGATCCTCGTACGCCGAAACAGCCTCTATGATACAGACGACCACGACCCTCCTCAGTCGTCTAGGCCTTCTAATCAACCAAGACAAGTCAACGCTGTATCCAGTTCAAGACATAGAGTTCATTGGTGCACGCCTGGACTCAGTGACAGCCCGGGCATACCTACCTCAACAACGTTTTGCAACTATGCAAGAAATTATAAATGGGATGCTTACAGTTCCTACCACCACAGTACTTACATGCCTCAGACTAATGGGCCACATGGCTTCCACCACCTATGTAGTCCACCATGCTCGCCTGCACTTTCGATGTCTTCAACTCTGGATGGCAACCGTTTATATCCCATCACGGCACCCTCGAAACAAAACGGTTACTATCCCACCAGACGTGCTGGGATCCTTACGATGGTGGACAGTGCCAAGCAATCTCTTGACAGGGGTTCCGTTCCAACAAACCGAACCCACTATCCAAATCACCACAGATGCTTCCCTGCTAGGCTGGGGGGCACATATGAACGGCCACGAAGTTCAAGGCAGATGGTCCCCAAACGAGACACACTTACATATCAATCTCCTCGAGTTAAGGGCAGTAAGGAATGCCTGTGCACACTTTGCCTCCTCCATCGCCAATCACACAGTCCGCATCCTAACAGACAACATCTGCACAATGTTCTACATAAACAGGCAGGGTGGAGCCCGCTCCCGCTCTTTATGCGCGGAGGCTATTCGCCTGTGGAACTCGTG